TTATGCTGGCTGCAAAGTCCTGCAGGAAGAGCTACTGAGAACTGCAAATGAAGTTCAGTGTCAATAAAAGCAGAATAATGCACTATAGGCACTCACTTTCCCCAAACACATGGGGTTAATGAGCCCCAAATTAGCTATCGCCAGCAAGTATCTTGTTGCCCTTATGGAAAAGCATCTGGAAACATCAGGTCAGCAGCAGTTCAAAAGTAAACACATCATCAGAAACTGGAATGCCATACACACACACACACAAAAAAAGACACTTAGGCCACTATAATCTCTCACGCATCAACATCTTGAATATTGCATGTAGGTCTGGTCACCTCGTCTTAAAGAGGATACAGAACAAGCAAAGGAGATGGGGAAAAAGCTTCTGCGTGGGAATAAAAAGTAGTTACACTATGCTTTTCAACTTGGAAGAAAAAACAACTAAAGGGGTAAGATGTGGTAGAGCATTAGAGAGTCATGAATGGTGTGAAAAACTGAATGGAGAGGGAACAATGACTACCCCTTACAACAGAACAACTCGGGACAGAATAAAAATTATTAGGCAGCAGATTTACGACCAATCAAGTGCACTTCTTTATATCATGCATACTTAAGCTTTGGGATTCCTTGCCAAACACAAGAAGCATAAGCAATTTTAAAATGGGATTCGATCAATTCGTGGAAGTCTGCATGTCACTTACTGGTAGGATATACTACTGAAGAACAATCATTCTACTCACTATTTATATATTGTTTCCCACAAATATCTGCTAGAAGGCAAAATGGAAAAGGACCTTTGGTCCAATTCAGGATGGCATTTCTTACATAAGGGAGAACAAAAAAAAAAAGAAAATGGATTTCCACAGGTAGACCATGCCATCAAGCATGACATGAGGTTAGTTAACTGGATAAAACTGCAGTAAAAATGAAAAGAGGGATAGGGTGGTAAGGTGAAAGACCAAGAAACAAGGAAGAAACAACGGCTTTGGAATGGAGTTCAAATACTTTTCTTTAGAAAACCTGGCACAAAAAGATTGATGTAAGCTAATGAAATTCCATTTAGGAAACTTAGACACTAGATCTGAGTATTATCTTAGAGTTCAATGTTCATGAACAGAGAAACAGAAACACAAAGAAGTCAAATAGTTTACAATTCATTTAACGTAACAAACAAAGAATGTGGGGGATGACTAACACTTACAGGTAGTCAAGTGATAAAGAAGGAGGAGGGAAGACTGCTCAAGATGATCAAGAGGAAAAGCTTTGCAGGAGCAGCAAAGGGAACAAAGACTCCTAACTTTTCAACAGAACTTAATCAACGGATGAGAAATTATATGATGAGGTTCCCGCCATATCAAAAGCCTAAAAATTACGAAGAACACTTAAGATCCCTCCTAGATAAAAATCTGCCTCAAATGACAGCAAAGGGAAGTACAGCTGCAGAGAAGGTCAGTGTCATTATCATCACTTCACAGGAAAGGGAAGTGAGTCTCTACACTGATTTCTCCTCAAGGTCTTCCGATGCAGTTTAAAGCAAAATAAGGAAAGCAAGCAAGACCTCAACCAGCATTTATAAACCCTGAAACCAAAAAAACATGATCAAGCCTGGATAAGTAGAAATGCAAATGAAAGGTAAGACTGAAAGACTGATAGGACATCAAATGAAAATGTTAAAGCTATCACTGCATAACCATCAGTACAAGAAGCTGTACAGAAAAGATGATACAGATTGTCTGATAATAAAAGATGTGACACGAGGGTTTTGTTATATTGCTCTATTTCTGTAACATCTCCTAAAATTCCTATGGAGCACATAATAATACCCATTTGATTTAGTAGAGAGGATGTGACAAGGGGTCACTGAGATGGAAGAATAATCTGCTCAGATGACATGCAGTTACAGCTCACTTAAATTTTTAACACCTACACTACCTGGGCAGGAATTTACCTGTATGCAGTGTTGGGGCAAGCAGAACTAATCAAACAATAATAGCAAAGTACTCCAAATATCCAGGTGACACCAAAAGAAATAGTTTCTATATGCCTTAAAAAACTGCTTCCTGGAACATAAGATTTACTCAAACCCCATCTCAAATAGCATGTAAAACAGGCAACTTTCACATATATCATCAAGGAAGACTTATACAAGAACCAATACAGCGGCACAACTCAAAACGTGCAACTGTTAGAGGTAGTTGGGAATTCCAAGAATTAAAAAATAAAGGCTCATTTCTAAAGTACAGAAGCAACCTTGACTGTCCTTAGAGCCACATATGTCTTAACAGAGACACAAAGAGGGGAAGAAAAGAAACAGGACAATATAGCTAATGACAAGACTTAAAAGGTTTGGTGACCCTTCTAAAAATAGAAATGGAAGCCTATAAAAAGAAACAAATTTAGTAATTCTGGTCTTTTAACCTTTAGTCTTAACATTTACACTTCACATTTTGTTTCTGAAACAGGCGGCATGGAAGACAGGTAGGCATGTCGATTTGGTGAGGCAAAGGATAATATCAAGTAAAATGACTTTGGGAAGGGATGCTCATCAAAATGAACTTTTCATACTCTCAGAAATCTGAAGATTCAAAGTACATATGTTCCTGTCTTTCCGAGACACCCTGTAGGCAGCATAGCTCACTGGCAAGTGAGCTTTACTGCAGTACCGGGCAAGAGATTGTAAACAGAAGCATGAAAAAGATACATGAATGTGAACAGAAATAAACCAGACAGGTGCTATAAAAGGAAAAATACATTAACCAACTAAATTCAGAGGAAAATATCAACAAAACAGATGTTACAGAAGTTGTTAATTATCTTTCCATGCACCTGAAACTAAGCACTTAGCCCAGGTTTCTGTCTGCTATCCAGTTTAACACTGCAGAAGGTAACGGTGGCTCTATGTTACAAAGACCAGCTCAGCTCCTGCTCTTAAATTCTACACCCCTATTGTTGGACAAAAATAGCAAGGGTTTAAGAATTGGTGGGGGGAAAAAAAAAAAGAAAGAAAAAAAAAAAAGTTAGTCAAGTTTAAGACAACTACAAGGATCAGTACAACCCTCAACATAGTTTTAATATTTAAATCCACACTATGGTCCATGATCTGGCAAAGCAATTGCTATAAGGAGGACACAGTCATGTAGGTAAACGTGTCTAACAGAAGACCTGAAAACCCACTTTATCACTGAGATCACAGCTGTCTTCTGTGAGGAGAAGAGGAAAAAAAAAAAAAAGCAAAGCACCTCATCCATCAGTCAAAAGAAGTTTAAAAGAATAGAACGCCCTTAACTTAAGAATGCACTTAAGTTAACGTTAAGAATTCAGGAAAAAAAATATGTGCAGTAGTATGCAGAGCTCGAAGACACCCAGGCAAAGTGCACCGGTCCAAAGGAGCACACCACGTTCGCAAGGATAAAGGAGCCGAGGGAAAAGCGATGTGACTAATAGTTACACACACTCACGACAGGGCGCCCAGCCCCATTTCCACCCCTTCTTCCCCATCACGGGGCACAAACCACCGCAGCAGCCTCAGGGACAGCAAAAAACTCTTTAAGGCAAGGTTTCCACATCAAAACCAAATTATTTCGGAGCTTTGCTATTTCTGCCACAGTCGCTCTCGTTGGAGCCTCTAGAAATCGCAGAGCTAGAGGAGAGGAGGGGGGTCAAAACCAGGCTGGCCACTTAGCCCAGTTCCAAGGAGAAAGGAGGGACAAGATGTCACTGCCTCCCACAGAAACCGCTGTGCCGCGACCCGGCGGCTCCCCGCTGGGGTGCGAGCCCAGCTCCCGGCACCGGCGAGGCCCTCGGCGACATCAGTGTCCCCTCGGGTCACCGGGAAGAACCCCCTGCCTCTCCCAGCGCGGAGCCGGCGGCGAGGACAAGGGGCCGGGGAGACCATAGCAAAGGGCACGAACCGGGCCGGCGAGCCCGGCCGGGCATCGGAGAGCCGCAAGGGGAGAGCGGGAGGCCGGTGCCCGCCGCCTCCCGGGGCGCCCCCCACCCCGCCGTGACCTTCACTCCCGCCCCCACCGGCGCCGCGGCCCTCACACAGCGCTCCCCCCTCCTCCCTCCCTCATCCGCAGTGCAGGGCCCGACCGCAGCCGGTCACCGCGCCAGGCCCGGGGTGACCGGAGGGGTGAAGGGGACCGGGGAAGGAGGGTGGAGGAGAGCTCCCCGCACTCACTATTCCTTGATGAGCACCATGGCGGCGCCGCCGCGCAGCCTCCTGCCCGGGCCGGCCCCGCTGAAGGTGACAAGCGCCTCCCGGC